GACATTTTCCCTTTAGTCTAACTAGTCAATAATTTGATTCTTGGTGTGTTTGCTTGTAAATTTGAATAGCATAACAAATGCTATACAGCTTGGTGAGTTTACTAAAGTAATACTCTCTATAACATTTTGGAAGGTTCATTTGCTTACAAATTCAGAAACACCATCCTCTAAAATTCCTTCTAGAAACTGCCACCCATAAAATAATATTCCATATCAGATTATAGTCACAACATAATTGCAAAAGTACAAATCTGATGCAAACTCATCTTGTTGAATTTATCCATGAAAGTTATACTACTTTCTTATATTAGATACCTCATTGAATCTGAGCATCTCTGCATTATTCTACTAGTCTCCAGTCCACCTTGAAAAGAAAGTAAGCTGAAAATTTCATGTAGGATATATTTATTATTCAAATATAATCAATAAGTCCTGTCATTTGGTTATATTGACAGGCATGGTTAAAGTCGGGGTAATAGGTACACAGCTCTTTAGTTGGATAGGTTTTCCTGATAAGACATCTGTCCAGAAATAAACTATTGTGTTAACTGGAATTGAGGTCTGTTCAAATGAAAATATCTTTGTTTACCAATTTGGTGCTATCACTTAGACAATTTCGAGAGCTTATATCTTGTGGAACCTAAAATGCATTGCTGTCATTTATGATCTGCCATTTCTGTGTTAGTCTTCTCTGTCCTCCAAACCCCTAGAAAAATATTCTCTAGTTTATTCATAGAGGTAATTTAAAATTAGGAAGTGATTTAAATTGCCCATCAGGAAGTGATCAACTCTTGGTACTGTGTTGTGCTAACAGAGTTGAAGTCAAGGCTTCATCTTTCGCCTCCTGCCCACCAGCCTTTTAGTCATCCTGGTCCACTGCCCTTGACGGATGTGTGGCTAAGAATTTTGTCCAAATTTTATCTAATCAATTGGCCAATATTTCAAATTGTTATGTATTTTTTATTAATGATTTTCCTACAAGTATTCTGTTCATCTCCAAGATGCCTACACATCTGATTAATGGAATTTGCTTTAAAATCATATGTAAGTCATTGTATTATGAACATTGTTTGTTTATAGCTGTAGACTTATTCACACTGTAAATGGCATGGATTTTTAGCCGGGGCTCTTTTAGCATGATGGTAGTGTTATAGCTTGGCAGAACCAGCTGTTGTTTGAGAAAGCAAATGGAGATTATTTTTTCACAGTGGCCACACATTTGGTGAGTTCAGGAAGCTACTTCTTGAAACTCTGCTTCCTATGCCTAAATACCTTTAATGGCTAATATTGACTTTCTGCAAAATGGTGACAAAAGGAAAAAAGGGGTTTTTTTTTTTTAGAGACTAATTGCACCAAGTATCTTAAAAATAAATCCTTAAATATTCTTCCTTGTACATTCTTATGATCTATTGAGTTTTCTTGTAAGGTCTTCTAATTTATTTTTTAAAAAGATTTATTTATTTATTTATTGGAAAGGCAGATATACAGAGAGGAGGAGAGACAGAGAGGAAGATCTTCTGTCCAGTGATTCACTCCCCAAGCGGCCACAGCGGCTGGTGCTACGCCAATCCAAAGTCAGGAGCCAGGGACTTCTTTCCGGGTCTCCCACGTGGGTGCAGGGTCCCAAGGCTTTGAGCTGTCTTCAGCTGCTTTCCCAGGCCACAAGCAAGGAGCTGCATGGGAAGTGGAGCTGTGGGGATTAGAACCGGCGCCCAAATGGGATCCCGGGTGCATTCGAGGCGAGGACCTTAGCCACTACACTATGGCGCCAGGCCCATAAAACCTACTAATTTCTACTTCCTTTGGCTGGACCATCTGTTTCCTTAGGATCAAGAAGAATTACTGTTTAGTTAGAGTTGCTGTAATCACATTTACACGAAGTGTGTGGACTTCTCTATGTATCTGGGTACCAGACTTATTTCATATATTTAGAACACTGGTCTTTTCAGCTGTCAATATTTTGAGGTGTATGATGTGTAAATGGTACAATCTCACATCCTTTCATTGGTGGAACTGTCAAGAACAGTTTTTCTTTTTCTCTCTACCAGCTAAGTGTGGACTCTTTCAGAATCCATTATGGAGGAAATAAACAGCTGGTTTTAGGCTAAAGATAGGGCTGACAACAATTTGCACTATATTGATGTCAGAAGTATCTCTCTGCCAAGCTCTAAAATGCACCTTCAAAAACTACTGAAAATATCCAAGAACTTTAGTGATGAGCTACAAATGGACTTTGGTATTGATAAATAAAAGTCAATATGTATAGTGAAAGGACAACTTACTGTGATAAATGGGGCCACCATCAGTAAAGATCAAATTATTGACTATCTAGGGTAAGGAAGAATCTGTCTATAGCTAACTTCTACAGGTGAGAAGAATTAACCAGGAGCAGTAATTTGGGTAATGCTCAGACAGACATAGAAATAGTACCCAATAAAAAACACAACCTTAACAAATATCTGGTTGGCACTGGGATAATATATTCTATAGGAGATAGAGATTCTTTTGTTTTGATGCCTTTTTCTGGGGCTTCTACCATTCCCATTCATGGGAGTTTAATTCAAAATTCACTTTTGGAATATTGTCTCCCCTGCCCTTCTTGGTGACTCTTCATAATAGCTCAGCTAGATCTCAAATCATGTGAGAACACATTAGAAGTACTTTCTCTTCCCCCTCACAGTCTGCAATAAGAACTGGATCAATATTTGTTGATTTCATCATTTTTTGACATAATTCATTAGAGAAGCCTTGGTCACACATAGTGTCAGACTTTAATGATGAAATATCACAAGTAACACCCCAAATAACAGTTGCAAGGATTAGCCTATCTAACAAACTAAAAGTGTAATGACAACAATTAATCTACCTAATGCCTGTTGTTCCCAACTGATGGAATTTTTTCTTCAATAAGTTTCATGGTATTCTCCATTAACTACCCAATAAAAATTTCAAATCATAATACATAATTAAGAAAATCAGAGGAAGAATAACCTTTTTCATTAACCTAATCCCACACAAATTACACCCTCCAAAATCAGAAATGAGGAGGGTGGTGGGAAGAAAACTAAAAACACTGCATGGCAACTGCTAGCATGAGTTTAAAATACTTAACCCTATTTTTAAGTTTCTGGTTGTCTTGAGAAGTTTGGGATATCAATTAATTTTTTCATCAATATGATATGGCTGTTGGCATGCTTTATTGTCTTTTTCTCTTCTTTGAAGCCTCTGATTTAGAAATGTTTGGTACTTGATAGTCAGTATTTGTTGGGAATTGAGATAAATGATGGATCAAGGAATGAATGCATGATTTAAGTAATGAAAGAACACAATGGATTGAAGGACAAGTACGATACAATTGACCAGATAAATGGAGGATCTTCCTCACTGGTTTTTAGTAATGGAATAAACTGTGTGATTAATATCATATTATACTATTATAAATATCATCATTTTAGAAAATTAACTAGGAAGATATACAAAGATGAGAAAAACAAGGTTGGAAATGTTGACCAATGTAGTATTACTTGATGACTTCAATTCCCCTAACTATCCCATTAAATCTCTTACAAAAATCTGTGTATTCAAAAATAATATGTATAGGTAAATTCTAGACTGATTAAGTTATAGACAGCTACATGGATAACTGCTTAAGTCATGCACTTCTGTCCTTACAAGTCATAGACTATTTTCATCATTAAAAAGAATGCATCCTTGGCCTCAAGTAGGACTAAACAAGAAACAGAGAAAAAAAAAAAAGAAGAAACAGAGCAGACCTAGCGGAAAGATAATTAAAATCTCATTCCCATTACGTCAGGCAAGCATGTAGTGTACCACTTGTGCTTCATTCATTCATTTCACAAGTCCTTGAAGAATACTTTCCATGGCCCAGGGCATAGGAGTGAATGAAGCAGACATGGTGTCTACTTCTGCATTTAAAAAAATGCACAGAAAGAAAAAACATATGAGGTTTATTTATTTAAAATAAGAATGTCCTACATTTTCTGTATCTTGTTCCCAAAGAAAGATTTCAGAATAGCACTGAATTCACTTTGCACATATACTTCTACAGAACAGAGAAAAGGACCTTAAGACATTTGTGGGTTTCAGATGAGTGAGTATGATGTAACTTGTATTACTGGAGGTTGACATTCTTTGTTTATTCTGACATATGATTCTTAATACAAATGTGTCATAGGAATATATTTCTTATGAAGATAATTTAGGCCACATGTAACTTGTAGAAAAACACAGAAACTTGAGTCTTTATCTAGGAGAATTAGGGATTGTATGGTAATTCAAGAGGATATGTAGGACTAGTCTGCTGGCATCTCTTTCAGGTCACTGTTCTTACTTAGGAAATAATGTCTCCTGACAAGTTTTCTGAGGACCTACCATTCAGAACAGCAGGCCTCCATATTGTCATTTTCATCACACCATTCTGTATTTTTGAGTGGTTTGTATAGATCCTTTTTTGTTGTTGTTGTTATTTGGTGCCATGATTTTTACTGTAACACAAGAAAACCTACATGCATGAAAAATATTTATTAGATGTGATATGTACAAAGAAAAACACCATTGCCACCAATATGGAGCTGGTCTTGCTAAGTGGGTCGATGTTCTTCGCCATGTGTCCTGTTGCCATTAATTGAGCATATTGTTTTAGATTTATGCATTAAAAATACGATTTCTTCTTCAAAAGGATCACTTTGTTGCAGTGTAGCTTTTAAGCTGATGCCATGAACTTATTTTTCTTCTAAGATAAAGTCTCATCTATAGATTTTTCAACTAATTACATGTCTGCCAATAAATACTTAGAGGATACATTTTATTTCAATTTATTATTTGTATTTACATTGTGTGTCTGTGAGAGTATTGTGGAACAGAAAGGAAATGTTTTAATGGTGTTGGCTGGTACTTTTTCATTGTGCTCTTCCTCTCCTTTCTCTCTCTCTCTCTCTCTCTCTCTCAGTTTCTCTCTCTCTCTGTCTCCCTTTTAATAGTACCAGTCAGTCCGGTCAAGCATGACAGCAACTCAAACTCGGCAAACTTCCAAGATGCTGAGGACATGCCTGACAGATGTGTCTTAGAAGAGTCTGAGAGTCCAGGTGAAAGCCATTTAAAAATAGTCAAGTATAAAATGATAAATTTGACACAGCTTTGGGGTCCTTGGAAGGGGGTTGGGGACGAGGACATTGTAATGCTGTTTTCTCTTAGCAGCTGCACTGTCAAATTAATGGTCACCTCCAGAGGTCACAGTGTGGTGCTGTTATCTTTTCCTCTTTCATCAAGAATTCAGTTGGAGGAAGTACAAAGGCTTTATGACTGAGAAGGGAAGCTGACACTATTAGTTCATTATCATCAATTTTAGCCTAAACCAGTTCATAGAGGCAGGGAGTAAAAACTGGAAAAAAAAATGGCAACATTTAAAAATATTTCTAATAATAGGTTCTACAGAGCATTAAGCCCAAGTAAAGAGATGATGAGAGAAGAGAAGCAAATTGTCTTCATGGCCATTCTGTTTACCTCACTAAAGTCAAGCAAGACTCTAACTGACAGGAGAGGATTTTAGCTTGACAGTAGTGGATAATGTCTTTTATTGGAAACAAAAGAAAACAGAAAAATGGCCACCCTTCCCCCAAACAATCAAGTGCACTCTTCATCCATGTCTGTTTTCTTTATGGAAAGATATGCAGAATGAGTCCAGCTGAATACAACCATTTGCACCAATTTCTGTTCTTGTTTTGCTTTGAAGCATGTCTAGTCTTTATGAGCAATTAAGCAACAAGAAAATAATCTTGTAAAAGTTGAATGATCTTCTTCTCAGGCCACTACAAAGCCATTAAGGTGGTAGCAGGTTCCTCATTATAAGCGAAAGAGTTAAACCTCTCCCTTGCCTTAGTATTTCTCTTCTCTGTCTGCTGCGTACCCTCCATCCCCTCATATCTTTGTGTGCTGATCCATGTATCATAGTTTTGATTCCTCCTCTCTGTGGCCTGTCAGCTTAGTTAAGAGATTTCCAAATCTTGTAGCCTTCGCTGACAGAGGGCAGCTGCAAACAGTCCCCTGATCCTTCCCAAAGGAGAGTGACTGAGATTTAATTTTCAGTGAAAGGTGCAGTCTGCAATCTATGTCAGGTCCCCTAAGTCATCTCAGAACCCCACCAGACCCAGTGGCTATGGCTCTGGATGTCAGCCCCCTCCACAACACCAAGATTTCCCCAAAGATGAACTCCAGTCATATGCCCATTCTCAGCCACAGCTCTGCTTCTGCTTCCCCTGGAACTGAGAAATGGCCTGTTTGGCAAGAACAGGAATTTTGAATGGACAAAGCCAACTGCAGCCCCTGCCATGCACCAAACAGATGCAGGTAGATCATTCCTTCCTCCTTAAAAATTAATTTCAGTTTGAAACTGGGACTCAGATTTCTTACTTTTGACTAGGTTTTCTATCCATCACTTGTCAGGCAATTAAATCCATGAGTTAAGTCCTTACCTACGTAGTCATTGTTTCTGATGGGAACACATCAGCTCTATATAGTTTCAAAGGTAGAAGAGATTTCTATCTTCTCTTAACATGAGTGAAAACGAAGTGTGATTTAAATATAGCATATCTATCCAATGTTCAGAAACAAAAGAACATATCAGAAAAAGAAAGATTACTTAGAAAATGCTGGTGCCGATAAAGAATCTTTAACTTAAAAAGTGAGTACTGTTCTCTGCATCGGACATCATTAAGCTGGTAATAAAGAATGAATTACTCTGGCTTTTTCTTCTGTCCATTCCTGCATTTTAAGACATCTTGCCTTATAGACCTAGAAACCTCTGGAGAGTTCACTACTGGTCTCACTGCCTTCCACTGAGAATTTGTGGCTTGGTTGTCATGGAGACATCGTATTTCTCCAAGAATTGCTCATATTGATCTGTGGCCAGGCGTAAATGGCCAAGCGAGTGTGAGGAATAAAGGGGGCTGGGCAGTCCTATAAAATGACCAGGGCTTGTGGGTTGGAAATAAGCTCATAGCAAACACTTAGGTAAAAAGAAAGAAGCAGTTTTATTTTGTTTCAGGATTTCTTTCTGCACTTTGGGCCATTGTCTTCTTTCACTATGAGCTGAAAGAAACTTGTTAGTCACTTGTCATGTCAGATCTTTGGTGCTTGCCCTGACACAGCTGTCAGCCTTCCAGCCCTGTGCAGTTCAGGGACACACAACAAAGAGGCGGTGACATGAATTATTTATTGCTCCTTGTGTGGATAAAATTCTGTGATAAGAAATTAAGACACTTCTGACAGAGGTGCTTGTTTAGTAAGAAAGATTTTGATGAGAGAGTGCATTTCCTTGAAGCAGGAGCATGCGAAAGCCAAAATTTCTTAACACAGAACATGGAGGAAAATCAGTCATGTATTTCTTAGGTGAATTTGGTGACATGAAGGAGCTTCCTTGAACTATGAAAATATGAGTGTCCACTTGTCAGTGTCTGAAAATTTAACTTCAGATTGCCAAGTCTGTGAAAGTGTAGGGGCTCTGAAACTGCAGGCATTACTCTGGTGATTTAGTTGCTGCTGCTTACCCTTGAGTGAGTGATGTTTCCTCTGAAAATGTTAACTGCTTTAGTTAGAAGGAAAAAAAAATCAAAGTTTGGATTTATAAGAGATAATATTTGGGAAGGTGTCTTCAAATCAGCAGAAGAGCTTCAGTGGCTTAAATGCAAATTATATTCATGTACTCTTTATTTGTTGTGAGGAGAGGAAAAAATTTAAACTTGTATACATCCCTAACCCTTTCAACCGGAATATTGTCACTCATCTAAAATTCCTTCTTCACGTTCTCATGTATATGCAAAATTCCTTGGTTACAAAGTTGAATGTGGTCAATCTTCTAGCTTAAATACATATGGACATTACATAGTTTTTTTCTGTGTGATATTAAATGACTGATACATCTAGTACATCATTTTTAATAAATAGGCCAGCTGTTTCAACAGCATGGAGAAAAGGAAAATAAAAAATCATTTCTACTTTATAGAGCAGTTCCTATACAGAATAGCATTCCTACCTTATTTTTTTCAGATAGTCTTCACTTTTCAAATCCTCTAAACATTTTACTTGAGATCTATCAGGATTGTATTGCTAATGCCAACTTCTGTTCCTATACAGAAAGCAAGAGGGCCCATGAAGGTGAAGTTGGTATTTTAAATGTTGATAGTTTTTAAATGTCATAAACCAATTCAGATTTTTTGTCATGTACATAAAGATTGACTTCATGAATTGATTACCTTGGTCTAATTGGATTTTGAAAACAGTATGCACATTGTTTATTTTTTCACTAGCATCACCGCTCAGCACTGAATTAACGGTGATTATTCATTTGTAAATAGGGATACAAGCTGCATATAGGTCACAGTTTAGATGTCTTGTAGAGCAGTTGTTCACCTGGTTCCTAGAGAATTCTACCTTATTCATCATGCTATTGTGATCTCTTTATTGGTTCAAGCCGTATACCCAGATGAGTGCCTTGAGTCCATTAAGGTTGGCAAAGCACCTTCATACCAGGGGCATGCCTGCTACTTTGACCCTGCTAGTAGACCTGGAGGTCTTGTCTGATGGGGCAGAAGATCCCTTGGCAGTGTCTTTTCTTTGAAATAATTCATTAGCAAAGGGTTTTGACTCACAGGTGAATCCCAGATTGAAGTTTCCATCTTAGACTCTGTGAAGTCTACTTGCTCCTTTCCTGGCATTTATACTTTCTGGAAACCTGTGGGAATAACTCTGATGTCTAGTAATAGAAGCACTGAGACAACATCGTGAACTTGCAGCTCCCTTTTTGAGATGCTGGGCCATTAGGCTTGCTTTCTTTGGTCCTTAAGGCCTGGTTACCTCTGAGCCCGAAAAATGTTATCACAAAAATAGTTCAGTTGAGTATTTCGCTGGTTAACTTCTTGTTAACTGTTTCCTACACGGTGATTAAACAGAGCTCAATCCTCATTCTAAAGAATATTTGGAAGAATAAATGGCAGATTTTTTTTTTACCATTCATCTGTCTGTTCATTGTTACACTCGTTATGTTTATAAAAAAAAAAGTGGCATTCACCATTTTTATGCAAGGGTTAGGACAAACCTTATCTTCTCACTGACTTGACAAGCTAAGAATTTTGCATTTTAATAGATTCAGAACAGCATATGTAAAAGTAACTTTAGCTGAAAACAGTGGTGATGAGAGGATTTGAAGTTCCCCAAAAGGCATTCCTATAAGCATTTTCCCATCTTTCTAAAGTACTTTAAATCACTGTGCATTCTGCCGTTAATAGAACATTTTAGTGGTTTTTATATAGCATATTATGCATGTAGATCTATACACATCATTGTCAATCAATATTACAGTTGCATGAATCTGGTGAACAAAACTAGATTTTCATAGAGTTACTATGGGCTAATACACCGCAGAAAGCCAAGGTGGTTGTTTTTTTTTTCTCCCTTTTACAATTCTGGCTCATGAATCACCAGCAAAAATGAGGTAACAGAAAGTAGGACAGATTCAACACTGGAGTGTTGGAGATGGCTGATGATGATGCATGAAGCAGAAAAAATGTGGAATGTCTGAGCACCCATCAGTCACCTCCATCAGGAACATACTTGTTACAGCTGGGGCTAAAAAAAAGTGTTCTAGAAGAAGGAAGAAGTATTTCAATAGTAGAGTGTAGTAAAGTGTAAATTCTTTCTTCTGGCTGTTTAATGACATCCAATCTTTTTATTGATTTTCACAGAAGCATCAATGGAATTATTTAAAAGGAATATAAATTTTTAAAATAAAAATTTAAATAAAATCATAAAAAGTATATTTTATATACATTACAATTTCGTAAAATTATCTATACTTATATATTACAATTTTATACGATTATATATGTAATATATAATTATATATTACAATCTTATAAAATATTCATGCACACCCACACCTTTATAGACAATAGATTAGTTTAAATCAAATAATCAACAATAGAATATCTGCCAAGTAGGCATGCTAATTTGCTACTATTCAGGGTTACTTTATTAATATAAATGCATTTAACACTAAGTAAGGTACAATACTCCAGTTAGTTTGTTAGCAAAGCTAATTTACATCTAGTGATAATCAATTATTCTGAGCAGTAGATGTTTTGATGCTATAATGCGTGTATCAACCAGTATTTATAATTAGTGCTTGATCCTAAAACAACAGTTACAGATTTCTCTAAGAACAGTTCAGCAACTTGAAATTTGTGGAAATTTACTCATTTCAAACTAAATTCATCTTTACCAATCATTTTAAAAATCCAGCCTATTTTTACTGTGGATAGTTAGAATTTATTTCCTGGTTTATACCATAAAAAACTTATTATATTGAAATACTTTTCAGGATTGAAAGTATGCATAGATTACAGGCATCACTTTTCTCACACTCTCTTTCATCCTTCCTTCTTTCATTCTTTTCCCTCTCTATTTTCTTTCCCTTTTCCATTCATCCTTTCCTTCCTTCTCCCCTGCCTCTCCTTCTCTTTTTTAAAATTTCTTTCTTTCCTCTTTCTGTCTCACTTTATAACCCAGCATATGTGTTTTCTTTCTAGGTGAGCCAAGACATCACTCATGGATATTAAAGGTGTGTTCCTGCAAAGTGTGTTAAATAGCATCTCAGCTGCAGGAATTGGATTTGGTCAACAAATAACCAGTTCCATCAAATCTTCAATTATTCCACATATATGATGACATAGTGTAACAATTGCCCACCTTGTATGGACTAGTTAATTTGGACTTCTATGACGCTGAGACTGAACTTTTTACCTATAGATTTATATAGTTGCCCGATCTCTTACTAAATTATCGTCTAGATGTGAACCAGGGGAAAAGCATTTAGTCACATCACAAGTGATCCTTTTAGCACAAACTCTTGTAGTTCTCCCGCAAATAAGCTTTATTAGAAGATATTTTTTGTAACTGAAACATATGAAGCAAATAAATAGGAGCAGATATTAAAGTATTCATCTGTAAAGTAGCCTTTAGTCATCTGATTTGTTCACTTGCATTTGATGATATAGTTCCTTGATTTGCAGACATCTATAAAATACATAATTTGCATGTATATATATTATGAATACAAATTCTGCCTTATTCATAGAAAAGTGGAGGAAAAGTGTTAAGTGTGTGATAACTGTATCTGTTTAGTAGGGAAATTCAGGTCACTTCAGCTCAACATTTTTGGGCATCACTTAAAGAACCTAAGCTGGGAGGTGGTGGGCAAGAGAAGGAGATTAAAGAAGGAAATTAGTGTAACTAAAAAGGTGTAGTCTCTGTCCTTAAGGAGTTTATAATTACTGGTCAACCTCAATGAATACACCAGAATACAGACATCAGATTAATATGCCTCTTTTTTAGGTGGATCAAAGTGTACATTGCTTGTTTTCTAAGATCTCATGCCACTGTTTAAATTACTTTGAATTGTTGTTTAGAGTGTTTAGAGTTGCTGTTAATGAGAATAATCACTGAAAATTGTCACCCTTTGAAAATCAATGTAACTAATCGCATCCTTTTTGGCAACAGCCAAAAGCCATTTGAAATAAAGTTTAAAATAATGAAAAATACCAGATTAGTCAATGGAATGTATTTTCTTGCAATTTGAGTAGTGATGCTCAAGGGCATTACAAGAAGGACTTTCAAAAATATTTTTGAGTGATGCCAGTATCAGAAGAGTATAAGTTCTCTCAAAGGAGAAATTCTAATAGTTAAAAACTGGATGATCAAGTTACTATGTGCTTATTGAAGATAACCTTCAGGGACAGATGTTGTGGCACAGCAGGCTTAGCTCCCATTTTAGATGCCCACTTTGTATATTCAAATGCTAGTTTAAGTCCCACTCTAACCCAGCTTCCTGTTAATGTGCCCTGAAAGGCAGCAGAGTTGGTTCAAGTCCTTGAATTTCTGCCAGCAAAAATTGGACATCCAAATGGAATGTTTTTGGTTTCTGACTTCAGCATGACCAAGACCTGGCTGCTGGGGTCATTTGGAGTGTGAGTCACTGGATGCAAGCTCCCTCAACAGCACCACCAATGCCCCTTTTCTGCTTTTTTTGTTTTGTTTTTAAAAGATTTTTGTTTTCATTTGAAAGGTCAAATTACAGAGAGGAGAACCAGAGAAAGATTTTCATCTACTGGTTCATTCCCCAAAGAGCTGCAACCTCCAGAGCTGAGCCAATCTGAAGCCAGGAGCTTCCTCCGGGTCTCCAATATTGGGGCAGGTGCCCAAGGACTTGAGCCTCTACTGCTTTCCCAGACCATTTAAAAGCAAAGTTGGAAGTGAAGCAGCTGGGACTTCAATCAGCACCCAAATGGGATGCTGGCACCATAGCCAGAAGCTTAGCATGCTATGTCACAGCACTAGTCCCATCCCCATTCTCCCTTTTGAAAAATAAATGTATTTATAAATAAAAGTTTCATTTTTCATGGCTACATTCTATTCCATTTTTCAAATAACAGTCAAGAGCTGCCATATTTAGCATTTTTTATAATCTAAGGAGATTAAAATTCATTCAGTGATAAATATTTTATGTCACTAACTATTGGAAATTGCAACTAGGGCTTTGCTCCTTCCGTCACTCAGCTGGATGACTTGCTTTCCAGAGTCTGTGGAACTCACAATGGAGGCAAAGGCCAGCAGAGCAGGCCTGGGGACTCACATGCTTCAGTTCTGGTGCTGGGGGCCGGGGGAAAGAAGAGGTATAGGGAACCAGGCTGGTGTGCTGGCATAGTGTGCTGGTGGACCAGGCTTGAGGATTTGTGCAGTGCTGGAACCCCAAACTGGCAAACTGCTTAGGTCCTGGATGGGTGGAGGGATAAGGTCCCAGGCCAGTGAATATGCTGGGTCTCAGGCCAGCACACATACATGAGTCTGGGAATCTGTGCTTGTGCTGGGGGTCTGGGTGGGTGGGCAGGGCTCCAGGCTGAGTTGTAGTACCCAATGGCAAAAGATGAAATGGGTGTAGGCCAGTGAGGCAAGCCCATCAAACCAGCCATGTCAGAAGATGGGCCAAATCAGACTGAGCCAAGAACCTACCATCATGCATATGTTCTGCAAATTGGAGGTGATCTGATAGAGGAGCACGGAGCACTCCTCTGTGAGGAAACAGTAGCTGAGGTTAGGAGCAGTCCAGACCATGCCAGGTTACAGTATCTACCCGCATGCATGTGGGCCTGGTCTGGGGTTGGCCAAGACAAGCCAGTTCACAGCACCCACTGGCAGATGTGAGAACCAGAACAGGGTGCTTGACAGACCGGGTTGGGCCACAACACCAGGTAGTTTATATTAGTGCTAGAACTGGGGGCAGGCCCGGCTGTACTAGGCTATAGCACCTGCCAGCATGAGATGAAACTGGGGGCAGGCAAGGCCCAGCCAGGGTGCAGCATCTGCTGCTGAATGCTGAGTTGAGGTAGCCATGCCAGACTGGGCCACAGTACTCACCAAGACACGAAAGATGTGGGGTTGTCAGGAGAGGCAAGCCTTGTAGGGGGTTATGGAGGGATCCTCTACTGGGCCACTACTTCTCATGGGGAGTGTGAGAATTGGTAATGGGGGCAGGTCAGGCTGTGTAGGACTACAAAGCCCATTGGCCTGCATGTGATCTGGATTAGAGGGAGAACCATTCTGGGCTAAATGACCATATCCAGTGGTGCATGCATGAGCCAGAGTGAGTTCAAGCTGATTGGACTTTACTGCAGCATCAGATGAGAAGTGTTAGAAATGAGGGCAAGTCCTGTCAGGCTTGACTGGAAAATGCAGGATCCTGGGCTGGGAACAGGACTCTTAGGGAAATTATGAGCATCCTTCTGATGGACTACAGCTGCCACTGGTGAGCATGAGAACCAGGGCTGGGGGTGGGCCTGGCTGGGCAGGTGGTGGCACCCACCAAAATGAGTGTAGGTTAGATAGTGGGGTTTGTTTGGTTGAGCTAGACTGTAGCACCTGCTGTTCTGTACAAAAGCCAAACAGGATGCAGGACAGACTAAACCAAAATGCTACACATACCAGCATGTGTAGGAACCAAGGCTGGGTGTGTGTCTGGTGGAAGCAACTGGGAGTCATTCTGATTAGGCTGCAGTTGCTGCTGGGAACTGAGGAACTGAGGGACAAGTGTGTGATGGGAAGGAATGAGCTGGGCTGCAGCATCCATTGGTTTGTTTATGAGATGGGGCTGAAAACAGAACTGCCTGGGTGACTGCAACCACCAGTGTGTGTGTAGGTTGATATGGGTGACAGACTAAACACACCCCCATGCTGGCTGACATATGCAGGAGTCAAGTCTGGGGTTAATCTGGTGAGATTTCTTTGGGGACCCCTCCCAACTGAAACACTGGACTCCAAACTCCAGCCACAAGGAAAATCACAGGACCTGTGGTCTGACTGTGAAGTACTTGTATCAGATCTGGGCCTCCCTGGTTGCTAAAGCCAGTGCAGTTGACAGCATGGCCAGATGCACGTGGGGGTCATTCCAGCTCTTTCAGGCCTGCAGAGGATATCTGAAAAGTACCATGGTGGCAAAGGATGGAGGGCAGAACAAATTAGACAATTATCCTGGCCAAGCTTTGACACAAGTATGCGGGTAAATGGAGACTCTATGGTGGACAATGTCAGACAACAGACTTTGGAAGGAATTCCTCAACCTTGGAACAATGAAATCACCAGTGTTTCAGAACTATCGAAACCACTTAAGCAGTATCCTTGGAACATGCTTCACATCGTGGACCCTGGGAAAACATCGAGTGGCCCTCCCACATCACCCAGGTACTGATGCAATTAGGATGCTGGGTGCAGCCCTCTGCCCATTTCTCTCCTCCCAGATACAGGAAGAAGAAAAAGAAAATTGGAAGTCCTGATGCAATGGCTCCGTGTCTAAATCTTCCCTGTGCAAGCAACAGGAACCCATACAGGTACTTATTCATGTCCCAGCTGCTCTGCTTCACATCCAGCTCCCTGCCTGGTGACTTGGGAAAACAGTAGAGGTTGGCCCAAAGGCTTGAGACCTTGCACCCGCATGGGTGACCTGGAAAAAGCTCCTGGCTCCTGACCTCAGATCGGTTCAGCTCCAACTATTGCTGCCACTTGGGGAGTGAATCAGCGAATGAAAGATCTTTCTCTGTTTCTCCTTCTCTATATATATCTGCCTTAAATAAATCTTTAAAAAAAAAAAAAAGAAAGTAAATGGGAAACAATTGTCTCATCCACTTTCCCCTATTCCTCAATCCTTTACATCCTAATTTGTGGTCCTTATGGGCATGCATGTTTCTCAAGGATGTAAACATCAAAAGTAAAATTAACAATAAATAAATAAAATTACAACTAGCATATAACCCTGATACTAGAAAATGAAAATTTGAAGACATTTCTTCGGCATCGTGTAGAGACAATCAACTGTAAAATTTCTTATTAAATGGCTTAAATGTACCTTTGGCCAATATGAATTCTGGAGACTAGCACCATTAACTATCAAAACTCTTAATTCCTAACAATGAGATCTTTAGAGATACCTAAATAATGCTTTCCTAATATCTACGTGCTGCTACACTGGGACACAAACCCATTGCTCTGTGTTTAAATGATTTATTTATATGATGTCCAACATGTTCTAGTAACTTC